GGAAAGTGGTCGGGCTAATTTCCTTTTGGAAGGGATGCCAAGGGTGGTAAAGGAAATAATGTTTGGTTTTGGGCACACTGCAAATAAGAAACCCATACTATTTTGAGTCATCCTAGAAATCTGAGTCTTAAGCTTGGGACAGAGGTAGAAGGTAGAGGTACAGATTTTAGAAGCCATCATTAGAGGTGCTAGTTGAAGCCAGGATGAAATTATTCAAGGAGAGTATAGAGTGAGGTGAAAACATAGTGGTAGGGGAAAACCCAGCAGCTACAAGCACTTTTGGGAGCTCAAGGCAGGACAAGGAAAGGAACAGGAAACACAAAGAAACAGCAGGTGGAGGGGAGGGAAGAGCCATCTCCCCTCAAGAATTGGAGAGATATGTGAACTGTCTTCAAGGAACTATTGTTAGCAACTGACCCTGCAGTAGAGAAGGGGAGAGGCTTAGAGTCTGATGATAGGATATTCAAAGTTTGGTGTTTTAGGGAGAGGGGGAAGAGAATGTTCTGCAAACAGAAATGAGTATCAGACCTAGGAGACATTTGCCTCACATCTTGGTGTCCAAGTGTACAAATGATGTGTGTTAACTCTCAGTCTTCACAGACCTAGACTGCAGTATCATTCTCATCACACAGATAAGGTAACAGGGCCCAGAGAGTAGTGAGTATATTTGGAGAATTTAGGACAAGTAGCCTGACATCAAAGCCTGGGCTTTTAACCACTGTGCACATTGTCTCTCAAAGAAAAACAAAGCAAGACATCCTCAATTAAAGTATAACTTATATTATGATTTGTATTAACCACATAAAATATGTCACCTATAGATATTCAAAGTTATAATGAATATATAAATCACTAGCCCTATGAGACCAGATGTACCACATGAAAGACTGTGGATTAGTCAGGGTAGGACAGTCTGTGCTGCAAAGCTGAAATCCTCTAATCTCCATCATTTATCATCACAAAAGTCTCTGTTCCATAGAGTCATTCAGGGACCTGGGCTGATAGAGACTCCACTCCTTGTAGCTGCATCCTCTGGAACAAAGAACCTCCTCAGACCCAAAGAACAAATAATACCAGCTCTTAAGTGCTTAGGACTAGAAGCAACACACATCATTCCAGTTATAGCCCAGTAGCTGGAATGAATCACATGATTCCACCTAACTGCATAGGGGTCATGGATGAAGGAAGGATCAGGAAATGTCAAGGAGGAAATAGAATCTGTGGTTAGCAGTATTACAGGGATGTTTTGCTAGAGGGACTTGGGCAACTTGTTTCATATGTAGCTTAAAAAATCCTTGAGGGATTGCTTTGCTGATAATATTTTTGTTAGAGTGTGTGTGTGTGTGTGTGTGTGCGTGTGTTTGTGTGTGTATGTATATGTGTGTTTGCCAGTCACTTGAAACTTTAGTATTCCTGGTATTTCTCTAGTTTCCTCTTACCATTTCATCCACTTATGCATTCACTCACTCTCATTCAAGAAGCATTTGTTGAACATGTAATGTGAGGCAAAACCCTTTTTCTCACAGAAATGATGTCCCAAGAGGAAAAGACAATTGAAATAATCCATACATGAGACCTGGCAAATGGTGAAGAAAAGTCAAGCAGGGAGAAGAGATGTGGTGCCAAGCATGAGGGGCGTGTGCAGTCAGAGAAAACTTCAGCAAGAAAATATCTGAAGGGGTTTAATAGAGCAAATGATGGACCTTCCCAAGGAAACAGTGTTTTATCAGGACTTAAAGATTCTTTTGATGGTAGGATATTGGCCCAGACAAATGGTAGAACTCCTTGTTCTTATGGATCCTAACGAGAGAAAGCTGCCATGCAGGGCTACACAGGGCTACAAGAACATAAAGCCTGGGGACAGTGTAACAGTAAGCTGGAGCTCTAGGGGGAACATGTTGATGGCACGTGGGGCTGGGGTGGCTAGGTTTTGTGGGTTCTCTGCAGATTGGCTAATTTGAATAATTTCTCAGGTTCCAGGGCATAAGAGCTCTCCCTAGTTATCTGGTTCCTGGCATCAGGACAATTAGGGGAGGAGCATAGTGGTCTGGAATGTGAGAGCTTGATAAGAGAAGTGGTTGGACTGTGAACTTAACCAGCTACTCAACAAGGGTACTTTCCTGTCCCTGGACAGAACCTCAAAAACTGGGTCATAGCAGCATTTTAACAAGAACAACAACAACAAAAACTATCTTGCAGAAGGTTCCGGGCAAAGGCCCTGAAGAAGGAGGGCATCTGATGTTTTAGAGTAAATCAGTGAGTCCAGGGGGACTGGAAGAGAGGGAGCATAGGTGAGACAGAAGGAGATGAGGGCCATAATGTCATGAACTTTGAGCAACATTGGAAAGACCTGGTCTTTCAGTAGGGGCTGAGCACAAGCTGCTGGAGTGTTCTGAGTATAGCAGTGATTGATTTGCCATGACGTTGTAATGGGATCACTTGGTCTGCCATAAGGAAGGTGTGTCAGTGTGTGTTGGGGGGGGGATATGGCTGGGGTAAAACAGAAGCAGGGCCACCAGTTTGGATGTTGCTGAAATATTCCAAAAGAAAGGTGATTGTGACTTGGATCAGGGAGGTAGCACTGGAGGTAATTAAAGGCAGTCAGATTCTGAAAATAGAGTTAGCAGATTTGCTGGTGGGTTTTTTGATCTGAGCTACTGGAAGGATACAGTTGACATAACTGAGATGGGGAAGATGTGGGAGACATAGATTTGAGGATCATAAAAGTTTTTTTAATATTTATTTTTTAGTTGTAGTTGGACACAATACCTTTATTTATTTATTTCTATGTGGTGCTGAGGATCGAACCCAGGGCCTCACGCGTGCTAGGCAAGTGCTCTGCTACTGAGCCACAACCCCAGCCCCAAGGTTTTTGTTTTCGATCATGTTAAGTTTGGGATGTCTAATTAGATATACAAATAGAAAAACATGCATAAGTCTTTTGCTCAATGACAGAATGGAGAGATAAATTTGGGAGAAGTCAGGGTGTATGTATTTGTGTATATAACTCCACGAGACTGAGGGTAAAAGGAAGTATAGCTTGGTCTAATGGAAAACCATCAAAATAGACTGAAAAGGAGCTGCTGGGGAGGTGGGGCAAAAATCAGGAGGGAATAATATCTTGGTGGCCAAGGAAGAGAAAGTAAGCCACATGCCACATTTAATGTTACTGGTGTGCTATTCTTTTCTTTCTTTGCACATGTGTTTGTTACAGCATTGTTCATAAGAACACCTCCAGTGTAGCCAAACTGAATCCCTAGGTATGTGGCCCCCATTTTCATGGGGATATTAACGGCTATAGAGTAAGAATTCTATACTATAGTCTCTCCCATTCCTCAGGCGGCAGTTTCCTTTTTAGATCTCTTAATTAGTTTCTCAAAACATTTTTGCTCATTCAAAAATTTACTAAGCACATTTACATGCTTAAATTTTGTGGGGTTACAGATTGGAATCTAACACAGCTTCTACATAGGCAGTGATGTGCCTTAGAAGAGAGTTACATAGGGTTTGGTAGTTCCTAAGAGACAAAGCTCACTTTCAGAGGCTGGAGTATGGGGTAGTATCATGAAAGACCTACAAAGCTGGTGTTAGGAGCATAGGGCTTGACTCTATGCAGTTATGAAGTTTGTTCCCTTTCCCCACTATTAGTAATTCAAAATTAAATTGGCAACTTTCTTCTGATGTTTCTGTCACTTTCACATCTCTAGGGTCTACATTCTGTTGCCACAATCTGTTTCTGAATCCTTCTGAGCAAAGTGCAGTCTCTGTCAAACCCATTTATGTAAACAATTTCAATTTATCATTGTCCCCTTACTCTATGTATTAGTATAGAGGCAGCTGGAGACTTAATCTTGAACTGCTCATCCTATCTTGTCACTTGAAAATAACTGGACAGTATTTCTCTGTGTCACAAATCTTGTCTACCATAGTGTTTGACTTATCAGTGTGTTTTCTTCTTGAGTCCCTTCAAAATAATTTCTTCATCAATTTGATGAATCTCCTGTAAAACATATTTCAAAAGTAATTCTGAGATGAGCTCTTTAGCCTTTGCAAAGAGATCACCGTTCTACCATTATGAACCATATTCACAATCTTTATCAGCAAAACCACAGCATCTTTCTGCCTTCTGCATACTCCTTTGTCAGAAAAAGGTAACTATCAACTAGAATAAGGCATAGAAATTCTACTCCTGCATCTGAATTTTTAGTTTTCTACCCTGACAATATGCAGGATTGATTGGAATGGAATGAAAGTACCTTTCCAAGAGGCCATTAGATAATCCAAGCATATGGAGACAACAATGCAGAAGGGACTTTGTCATGTCTTCCAGTCCCAGAATGAGCCCTTGGATCATCATCTATTGTTTCCCATTATCTTCCATCCTTCTCTGCCACCTTTCCTGTGCCTCTCTTTCCCAGCTTCCCTCTGTCCTTTCCAGACCCTTCTGGGTGTTCATTTCTCATGCACCACTTGTGTCACCTGCTTATCTGCTTTCCTGTCCATTTCTCCTTCATCTCATCCTGTGTTGAAACAGCAGAGCCAACTCTGAGGGTTGTTGACACCATGAATGCCTCAGGGGCTAGGTTTTCTATCACATGACGCTGGTCGAACTCCCTGTTTTGTATTTTCTTTCAGATTAGGGAACCAGACCTGAGGCTAAGGAATCAACTTTCCAGCAGAACATTTCTGAAGGAGGCTCATTCCAGGGAACACTGATAAATAGAATGACAGGGAACAGTCCCTGGGACTCTATGTTGTATGAGGCATGGAGGAGTGAGGGCCACTTAGAGAGATCTCCCAGACAAACAGCAATAATGCACAAGAGAAATTCCAGGGAGGACATTCCCAATGAATGCAGTGATTTCCAAGGAAGCTTCAGCCTCCAATCAGTTCCTGTTTCACAGCCAGGGATCCCTACATGAAAAAGTTTTGGCACAGGTGACACACATGTAGGGAGCCTAGGCCCAAATTTAGACCTGATTACTTAGCAGGGCTTCTGTATGGATAAGAAACCTTGGCAGTGTACCCAACAAGGGAACTCCTTCCGGGACCATTCCACCTTGTTTGGCCTTCAGGAAAGTCACACTGGAGGCAAACCCTTTACATGCAAGGACTATGGGAAGGCCTTCAGCCAGAGCTGTTCACTTACAAAGCATCAGAAGTCTCACACAGGAGAGAAACCCTTTAAATGTAGTGAGTGTGGAAAGGCCTTCAGCCAGAGCTCCTCGCTCAGTGACCACCAGAGAATCCACACGGGCGATAAGCCCTATGAGTGCCACGAGTGTGGGAAAACCTTCACCAAGAGCACCCACCTGATCCAGCACATGTGCATCCACAACGGGGAGAAGCCCTATGAGTGTGGCAAGTGTGGGAACGCTTTCTGCAGAAGCACACACCTGACCCAGCACCGCAGGACCCACACGGGAGAGAGGCCCTATGAGTGCCAGGAGTGCAGGAAGGCCTTTAAAGATGCCTCTTCCCTCAGTCATCACATGCTGACTCACCGGGGAGAAAAGCCCTATAAGTGTCCTGACTGTGGGAAAGGCTTCAGCGGCCTCTCAGGGCTCGTACAGCACAAGAGAATTCACATGGGAGAGAAACCATACTCCTGTCCCAAATGCAGGAAGGCCTTCAGCCAGAACTCATCCCTGATCAAACACCTGAGGTTTCACATGGGGGAACAGCCTTTTCAGTGCAGTGAGTGTGAGAAGGCCTTCAGCCAGAGCTCATTGCTCATCCACCACCAGACAGCTCACACCAAAGAGAAGCCCTTCCGGTGCAAAGAGTGTGGCAAAGCCTTTGGCCAGGGTGTACACCTGACAGAGCACCTTTGCATCCACAGCGGGGAGAAGCTGTATGAGTGCAATGAATGTGGCAAAGCATTTACCCAGAGCTCATCTCTCATCGACCACCAATGTATCCACACCGGAGAGAAGCTCTGTAGCTGTTCAGAGTGTGAGAAGGCCTTCAGCAAGAGCTCATCCCTTAACCAGCATCTGAGGACTCATACGGGCGAGAAGCCCTACAAGTGCCACGAGTGTGGGAAGGCCTTCACCAAGAGCATGCACCTGACCCAGCACATGTTCATCCACACTAGGGAGAAGCCCTATGAGTGTGGCAAGTGTGGGAAGACCCTCCACAGAAGCACGCACCTGACCCAGCACTGCAGGACCCACACTGGGGAGAGGCCCTACAAATGTGATGCATGTGGCAAGGCCTTCACAGACACCTCGTCCCTCTCTAGGCATCTCTTTGTCCATACTGGTGAGAAACCCTACAGATGTGATGAATGTGGAAAAGCCTTTAGTGGCCCCTCAGGGTTCATTCACCATCAAAGAACACACACAGGGGAGAAGCCATATGAATGCACAGAATGTGGAAAAGCCTTTAGCAGAAGTGCATACCTTATCGAACATCAGGGAATTTACACTGGAGAGAAACCCCACAATTGCAAAGAATGTGGGAAGGCCTTCAGCCAGAGCTCACACCTTACAAAGCACCTGAGGACACACACTAGAGACAAACCCTATATATGTAAACAATGTGAGAAGGCCTTCAGCCGGAATTCATCCCTTATGCATCATCAGAAAACTCATTCCGCAGAACAGTCCTATGAATGTTGCAATTCCTTCAGTGAATCCACAGCCTTGGTTTAGCAGCAGAGAATTCACTCTGGAGAAAGAGCCTATAAATGAGTGGGAGTGCTCAATGATTCCGTTGCTTGTATGAACCACCACCAAGGAACATTTAACATCCCTTGTCACCCTGGGATGTGGTTAAGAAATGTTGGGGTCCTCCTCTTTGCCTAGGATTGAATAGGATACTGTGAGGGTAAGACACCATTGCAAATCTATCTTTCTCCCCTGTAATTTAGAGGAAATCCAGGGTTAAATCTTATTGGGGCTTTGAAATCAAAGATGGGTCTAAGTATAAATGTTGAGTATTAAAAATATTGTTTAAATATTAACATAAAACACAATTGGGAATTTTCATAGCATGATGATCTCATGTGTTATTATTATTGTTATTATTTACTTCTGGGCCTCTGGAAAAGGCCCAAAGTGACAGACACTAGAAGGGGGGATACAGCTAGAGTGATGCTGACAGTGGATAGGGTTGTGTAGTGTGAAAGGGGCAGTAAGGAATGCTGAGAACTCTGGATAGAGGGGAGAGAAAGAGAAAAATATTAGAAGGTCATGTGGGGTCATCTGGTCTAGAAATTTTCAAATGTTTAAAGTTACATATTGTTTAGTAACTTTAAACATTTGATAAATTTTAGAAAAAAAATATATGTGGAATTCTTTGGTTACATGGCAAAGTTTTAAGTCAGTTAATACTTAAATGGGGATTGTAATAAGTTCATTGCGCTATATTTGTTCCATATCTAAGTAATAGTCAAATAGGTGTACCAACTTTCTTTTATTCCACATTTATTCTTATTAACTTGAACACAAAGAGATCAAATTTCACATCCATTAAAAATATGCCCTGTGAATAAATTCTTCTGTGATTGATGTCAAGTTGGATCTCTCTTTTACTTGGTGTCCAAGGCAATCCATTTTCTCCATAGTCAAGTGTCAACATAACATGTTACCAACTGTGTCTCTCCTGATGCCTCCCGTTTTTCCTTCTGAATTCATGCTTCATTTTGGCCCCCTACCAGATTTTCATTGCCAGAATTTAAAGAGATACCTGAAAGAGTTTGCCAATGACGTGCCTGTGCTGGGCTGCAGGTGGGAGCTGGGGGAAATGGGACTGATGCCAACATTCAAGAACTTGCCAATATACTTCAATGTTGAGAGAGCCTATAGGGTAATGAATGACAGAAAGGAGCACAGGAGTTCCTCTACCTTTGGATCTGTCAGTTTTGGTAAGAAGTGACAGTGCTTCTCAACTCATCTGGTGCTTCAGACTTACTTGGAGTAGCTTAATAAAAATTCACATTCCTGGGATCATTCTCAAGCTGCCAAATTAGAATCTTCAGGGCTAGGCCCACTCTCAGAAATATACTTTAAAAAAGGTCCCAGGGCAATTCTGCTGCACAACCATCAGAATACATACTGTGACAATGCCCATGCAGCCTTAAAGATATTTCATGTGGGGAAAAATGTGCATAATATTCTCTCTTTTGATTCTGCAGGAGTTTCCCTAGTAAATTTTCCTTTGGGTTTGTTTCATTCAGCTCTTACCCTATTTCCAAGAAGAAAAATAAGAAAAGGGGAACTCAACATCTCTATGCCTCTTAGACAATCAGCTCCATATTTTCCTTCTTAATTCTGAGAAAAATATTTACTATTTTTTTCTATATGCAGTACACATGCTAAACTATCGAAACATCTCTTCTTTTTCTTCCTCAGAGAACTCCAATTTTGCCCAAGTATCTAACTTTTTCATAAGGCCATGGTTCTTAGGGGAGTCTCAGATCATCTTTAGCCTTAGAAGGTAGGTCCCCATCACTCTTTCCAACAATTGGCTTAGGCATGGAGACTTGAGGCATAGGGGAGGGGCCAGAGGAAGAATTCTTGTTCCTTACTCACAACTATATGTTACAAAGGACTATAGCAGTTGCCTCTTCACTGTGAAG